TCCCCCCCCAGCCGCTGGCACCCACCCCAGCTCCCCACAGGACAGAGCACGATGTGGATTCACGGATGAGGATGCTCTGTCGAGACCCTGCTAACCTTTTCCCTATTTTCTACTTCCCTGCAGGGAGGGAACGATTATGAAATCTATGACGATCCTCGCACAGTGGGGCACAGCGTCCAGTCTCCCCAGGACACAGTCCAGCGATGCCGTGAAATCTTCTTTCCAGAGAGGGCAAACGAGTGCTGACTGCCAGGTCCCCACAGCCCTGCCCCGGCCCCACCTTCTCCCCTCCACCAGAAAAAGCACCTTCATTTGAGGAATCTGCTCAGGGTAGACCGAAAAAAACCCCACTTTCCAGAGCTGGTCGGGATGTAACGCGTGAGTGCGGGTGGGCGTGCAGGAGGGGACCTTTGCTGAGCAGCTCTTCGGCACTCCTCATCTACAGCTGGGGCTCGTGGGACCAGACCCTCCTCACCTCCAGCAAAACTTCTCTCTTGGCAGTTCAGGCCGTGGTGGGTGGCGATGCAGATGTTATTATGGTCGGAAAGCATTTGAAAGGGCCAGTCACGATAGCGTGTGTGTGTCCATCCCGTTCTCCCTCCCCTCGTCTCTGCTTTTTCGCTCTGCTTCTCTTAACGCTTCTGCACGGGAGAACGTGCGTCTCACCTTTCTCTCCCCCTTGCGCCTTGGCTGGGGAGGATGGGGCTGCCGCGGCCCCAGGCGCTCTCACCGGAGCTGCTCCGAAACCAGAGGCCAGGAGGGCTGTTTGCTCCAAGCCCGGGGCAGGAAGGGGTCGCTGCCACCCCGGCTCGTTGCAGTGTTGTGCATCCTAATGGAGAGGATCACCGTGTCCTTCACCTCGGTGCCACACCGTGCCAGTCCCTGCAGTTGACCTGGGAATGACAGTTTTAAAATGACTCTGCTCCGGCTCTGAGCTTTGCTCAGGTGTATGAGGAAACTAATTCTCTCTTTAGCTTACCAAAAAAAAAAAAAAAAAAAAGGCTACCATGGGTTTATTTTCCATGTTCTGCAGAAGTTGTCAAGTCAGACCTTGCCTGGCGCAGCTGGAGGACCCTGGGTCTTCCCACCCACGTATCCATTAGGTGTCACAGATGTGTCAGTGCAAAACCTTACCCAGGGCGTTCATAACAGAGCAAGTCCCCTTTCTTCGCAGTGCTCAGCTTTCCACAATGCTGCCAGAGACATTTTCAGAGAGGGCCAACGTAGGCCACACCTGGTTTCTAGTGCCAATGGAGGTACACACTCAACAGTGCCCTCCAAGCTTGCTTTTCCACCCCATCTCATCCCACACGCTTGGTTTACATGATCACCCTTAGGGATGCAAGTTCTCCAGTGCAGCCATCACGTGTCCTTCTGCTCCTCTCTTCTCCTGGGTCTTCGTGAGTTGCAAAACCACATCTCTCCTTTGGCCCTTGACCTCCTCCCTCACGTTGCCCCTTTGTTCCTGGCTATTATGCGGGGGGCTGTGACCACACCAGTGGTGCTAACCACAACCTGATGCTCAAGAGGAGCTCAGGGACCCCCTCAAGGGAGATGTCCTGCTTAATAGCTCTGGTGTTTGTGGACCTGGAGGGTGCCAGAGGTTCCTGCGAAAGTTCCCCACCTTGCTTCCTGCGAGCCTTTCTCAGCACATCCCTGCTGGTATGGCACTGCCCCATCTCTTGGTCTTGCTTTCTCGCCTATTTTTCTCCTGTTCCTGCTTTCCTCACCATTGCTCTTCATCTCCCACCTAGCAGTTGGACTGCAGAGAGAAGCTTCTCAGCTGGCTACTGCCACTTCACCAAGGGGCCAAGTTCCTCAGGCGAAATGCATTGGTGCTTTTAGACCCAGGGCAGGGCTCCCACGTTGCCACAGGCAGAGTCCTGAGTGGACCTTGGCACTGCTGCCTGGCCACAGGAGCAGGGGTGCTGCGTGACCAGCGCTGGCGGGGTGCTGTCTCCTTCACCTGACTGCGCCTCTTAACTCTACAACACATCAGGTCTGTAATGCATCACATTTGCATGAGCACAGCGGTCTGCCCAGCATCTGGAAATCCCCAACAAATGCACAAATTCCTCTTTCTACCCAGAGAAAATTTCTGCGTAGGAGAAGAGGACCTGTTGGGGAAGCCTGGATGCAGGGTACCCTTTTCATAGGGCACTGGTTTTGGCCCCCCACTGCAACCCTCATGGAGGAATCGTGTGTTTTGTGGTTCTTCCTTCTCTGTTTCACTGTGGATCAGGTTATGTGTGGGTTTTGGGGGGTTTATTTTTCCTGTAAGTCTATTCAAAGTCAGCAGGATGTCTAGAGAGCTTGATGGTGGGTGAAGAGCAGGGCCTGGCCCTGAAGGCACAAAGCACGGTGGTGGCCTTGGGGGCTGAGATGCCTTGCATATTTCTTGCATATTTGAAGGGAAGGGCAGGCTCTGTCCAAGGCTGCTCCTGATGGCAGCACGTGTCCCTTGCTCAGGGTGGGGGAAATTGCAGGGCAAGCAGGGCAGAGGCAGGGATGACCTTCGAGGCACCAGCCATCGCTTTCTCTGCTCAGGAGCTTGTGCGTGCATGGGTGAGATCCAGTTCAGGAACCTTCCCCATTCCTGTCTCTATCTTACCCCAAGCTTGGGCTAGTTGAGGGCCCCTCCTGCCAGGAGACCCTGTCCTGCTGGAAGGAGGAGGAGGAGGATGGCAGCAGAAGTAGCTGGGGCAGCCCCAGGGTCTCAGAGCTACAGAAGGGTTGAGGTTGAAGGGACCTCTGGAAGTCATCTGGTCCCACCCCCCTGCTCAAGCAGGGACATCGGCTCCCTGCCGTGTGGTTTTGCGGTCAGGGAGGAGTCACAACGCGGGGGTGGGAGCCCTACAACCTGGGGTCGGTGTACGCCTGCCCCGAGACCCCTTTGCCATGATGCTCCTCTCCCAGTGGGTGCCCACGGTGTGAGTGGGGATTTCTCCCTGTGTGTGCATGAGCGAGTGGACGTGACGGGACCCGCGTTGGGGACTGTCGTGCCATATGGCTCTGTATCTCTGCGAGATGGGTGGCTCCTGTCTGGCTGATACCAACTGTTAAATAAGAAATATATTTAAATGCATATATATATATATATGAATATTAAAAGAAAAAAATTTAATCAATCATATTAAAGCTACAACCCGCAGCGGGTTAGAGGCAGTGTGTGCTTTGTGCCGGGCTCTGCTGGGGTGAAAGCAGGCAGCCGCACTTTGAAATCCCTGCACCGG